GAGGGAAGAGGAATTGCACTCTGCGGGAACTGGCGCAAGCCAAGGAGGGGGCCGGCAGAACAGGGTCCGTGCGTCAGAGCGGGCCTGTTCCGTCACAAAAGGCAGGGCAGGCATTCAAGACATGCAAGGAGGGCCAGCATCTTCATTGCCCGTAAACTGAGAGAGGGGTCAGACCTGCTTTGCAATCCCCACCCTGGTTCTTAACACCATGGGCTGAACCACCCTGATGTCTTTGCCTCTGCCCCTGACTTTTCACTGCGGGGCGAGCCAGCCTTGGGCCAGGCACCCGAAGGACCTGGGAGGACCTGGGAGGCCTTCAGCGTGGGTTTCTACAGCGCAGAAGCGACTGCGCTTAAGCGGAACCATGCTCACGTGCCCCAGGTGTTCAAGTGAGCGCCTGCTCCGGCAGATCACGGTTCAGGAACCCTGGGCTGCAATATGGGCTCACCAACCCCAGACAGACACTTGCTGAGAAATGGGACGGGACAAGATCAGGGGACAGGCCTCCTCTTGACTTGACCTGGCAGGCCACGCTCAGGTTTTAATGCTCCTCTAAGCTACTGTGAAAAACACACGCGCTAAGCTCCTCTGCCATGGGAATCCAACATTATCATATTGAAAGGGGGATGAGTGTTACGTAATGACGTTATCTCCATCAGTGTGCACGCAGCACTTGAAAGAATTGCATGTGGGTGGGCGCTGGGCGGCAGGACAGGGGCTGGGGACGGTCTTAATTCAGAGGGTGAAGGAAGGAGGGAACGATGGCCTCAAGAGGGAAGCAGCGCCGACAGACGCGTTAGAAGCACCTCAGCCAGCAAGCGCAAATCGAGCCGTTTTCCAGACAGCCTTAATGTTCTGGTTACATTTCCATTTGTCACTGTGTTTTTCCCCTCGTTTCCACACAGTTTTGTTAGCAATCCCTTGCTGCCCTGTCTTCCAAGCCAGGACAACAAGGGAGTGCTAACAAAGCTGTGTGGAAATGGGGGGGGGGGCGTCCACCCAAAGCCTGCAGAGGGCAGTCGAGGACTACAGTGAAGAAAAACTGGCCTTTCTTGAAACCACGGGCCAGCCAAGGCTCTTGTGCGCACTGTGGGTTTACTGGAAGGGCCAAACCAGACGACAATCTAGGAGATCCACGAATGGATCTCCCCAGCATTTTTATAGGACCTATTTGTTGTTGTTGTTCAGTCGCACAGTCGAGTCAGACTCTTCGCGACCCCATGGACCAGATCACGCCAGGCCCTCTTGTCTTCTGCTGTCCTCTGAAGTTTGCTCAATGACACTGTCTAACCATCTCATCCTTTGCTGTCC